ATCTACGGTCCAGAGCAACACACTTGGCAACTCCTTTTGGGCTGGGTTTTGGGCTACTTTTCTTTTGAGTTATTGGGCAATGGCTTTAGGTAAAACATTTTCCACAATCTTAGGCCAAGCCCATTTCATCATTGCCCCATAGTTGAATATAAATGACAAAATTGGCATCAATATTCAACAATCCTGTTTTTTTTCCAAATGCAAATGCAGATCCAAATGCAAGCGCAGGTGGTGCTTCTTTTTACAACCCCCCTTTCCAGGGGTAGAAACTAATTTTAATTAATGACAACATTAGCAGACAATAATGGTTTTTGATTTTTTAGTCTGCACTTCTTGATGTTTTGAAGTTACACATGATTCAATCTTTAGTTACTTATATTTGGAGAATAAATTAATGTTGTCCCTTTGTTTTATCTGTGTACTCTAATGCAATGTCTGAGATTAATTGTTTGATGATGATAGAAGTCAATTAATCAGTAGAAAAAACTATTGTTTTTTAATCATTTCACATTTTTAACCTAATATTTGTAGATAGTGTTGTTTCTGATGTTACGCAAGAATAAAAATTTGAAAACTCAGTTCTTTATAAAAAAAAATTGCTTTCCATGACATTTGAAGAATTTTTTTTTGAAATAAACGGGATTGAAAATATTTTAATGAAGTTATATGTAAGAGTATGCGAATTAGTTGTCTTATGATTGATTAAGTGCATATTCATTAATTATCTCGACCTGCAAGAAAGATTGATAAATTTCATCATAATTAATTAACTTTAATGAATATTTGTCTTTTTGAGACGTAACACTGACTTAGATGCACGTTTTAGGATAGTGATCTCGAACTTCAGCATTTACAAGTATAAGAAAAAATGTACGCAAAGAATATTTTAGAGGGGAACTCGGGAGTCTCTCGCAGCCTCTAAAATATTCTTTGCCTCTCCATTCACTACTTGTTTCGGTGATTTTGCATCCCAAAATGTCTTTAGCAATTCTTCAAAAGATGAAATTCGGAGCTCTTCTATGGAAGCAGTGCTAGGAAGATTAAAGGATTTCTTCCTCGGCATTGAGCATGACGGTTGACCCACCTGCCATGGAAAACATTAGTCATATGAAAATGAAAAATTATTTTATCATTCCCTTATGTTTTCAAGATTGTTTCCTTGGCACCGTCTTCCATAGATTGAAGAAAAAGTGATTTTTG